ATAAATAGAGATTTTATATGTGCTGATTTATGTGTAAATTATTTGAGATCAATAAATTAAAAATTAGGTGAAAATCTTAAATTAGATGTCGATTTTTGAAAATAAGTGTTTAATGAAAGACATTGCACTAATCATTGTATAAAAAGAGGAAAAATTGTCGGAATTCACGAGTGATGTTACCCTATAAAAGACCTCAATGAGGACACTTATTAAAAGTTCTAAAATGAAAACTCAAAAAGGGATTAAGTTAATACATGAAACAGAATACACACAGCAAACATAAAAAAATAAGTGCATGAAACACAAAACGCACTACATATATTGATTAAGTCCCTAACACTCTTTTTAAAAGAAGTAAACTTTTGGTAAGAGATTATTAATCTAGTTGAATTTTAGAGGTTGAATCAATCAAAATATAGGAGAATCCTTATTTGTTAAAATGTTGACTTGCATATATGAAATCTATCCAAACTAATGAAATGTTTATTTCTCTTGTGAAATACTCACCCCAAACTTATTCTTTTAAAGTGAGATCATGAACTCTGGGAGGAAAAATAGGTGGCCACAGAATAAATTTGATGTTCCAAAAGGATGAAATCATGAACAATGGAGAGATAATTAACAAAATGGTAGTGATATATCCCTTTTCGAGGTTGCAAATTGCTCACTTTGAACAGCTATTTTTCATCTTTCCCTTTTTCTAAATTTTCTTCCAATTATTGATAAGTGTATTTTGTACATTTATCTAACCGTTAAATTAGAATTTTTTTTTTATTGATTTTGATTAACCATAGCTTAATTGTGTTAATCTTGTTTGTTAGGTGAAACTCGACGCAAAATAGTAGATTGGAAAAAAGAAACGAGAAACAAGCAAAAAATGAAGAAATAAGAAGTTTAAGGGCCAAATTACAAACATTCAATAGTTGATTCGGACAACAAAATAATTATTGAATATCATATGTGTTCAATTGGATGCAAATGTAAGATAATGGGCAAAAATTGCATGAGGAAAGGACCCAAACATGCCATCGAGAAGTTTATGGACCAATTTGTAATTTGGGTGAATAAGCTTACATGCGCACCAAACAAACCCTTGTGCGGGCAAGGGTTCAATATGATGAGATGAACACCCATTCACCTGCATGGGTTATTCTGGAGGCAATCAAAACAGTTTTCTTTTTATGTCCAACGCTTTATGGTATGAACTTCTAGCCTCTATTTAACCTACTTGAGGTTGCCAAGGACACGATCTATCACATTATAACACAGAAAAGAGGTCTAGCAAGAGAGTGAAAGGCAACCAACATAAAAAAAAATTGAAGATTCAATGCTCGAATTCAAGATTCAAGAACAAGAAATTGATTTATCAAGATTATTTTATTGTTCTTATTTTCGGGTGACGTCTTTTCCTCACTTTTTGTGTAATTTACATACAAATATACTAGGCTAATTTCTTCCATGTATTGGATAGAGATGAACCCTCTATTTATTTATTTTTAATTCAAAGACGAGTAGTTTAGTTAATTATTGTGTTTCTTGATTAAGGAAATGATTGTTGTAATCACCATTTAGATAAGGAAAATAATTGTTTTACATCAGCATTTGCAGATTCTTTTATAGATTGATGAGGTGGGAAAAAGAAAGTGAGAGTGTTATAATTTCTTATTTGATTGGTAAGATTTTGACTTAATCAAATCTTACTACATCATCGGTTAGTAACCAAATTTTTAAACTGTAATATATACGTAGCACAACCGTTTAGATAACTAGTTGCTCGTTGTAGTGCTATTGGAAGGCTCGAAATAGATTTAGAACACTGCATGATTAATAAACAGGCAATAGATGTGAGGATAACCATGTATGGCATGTGCAATCTTATTGATAATAATCGTGTAATTGAATGCATTATTTTGCATAGTAATTTGGATTAGGATTAGGACCGAGTTGGGTCATGCTTAGAATAAAGTTAAATATAATAGGATTATTGATTGTGATGAATGCATGAATAATGCTGTGTTGACATATGGTTGGCTTTATCCTTAAAGTTTTGGTCATATATTATTTTCTAACAATTAATTCTAAGCTATGAAAGTTTTTTCAAAGCATTTGATGTAAAATTGATCGATCGTAGACATAAAGATTGTTATCAAGGAAAAAAAAATCACTATCAAGACTTTCACATTACAAATCGGACTCACAACGAAGATCGAGATGAAAGTCGATCATTCAAATCAAATCATTCGAGACAAAAGCTACAAAAGTCAAACATCAATGGAAATTCATTTGGATCTTTGTCCAGTTTCACAAACTTTTTTGCTCCTCTAACTCTATAAATAAATTCACTTTTTGTATTCGTTGTAACATTCTTTAAGAGTATTAAAGTGATAAATTCTTGAGCAAAATTTCTTGAGCTTATATCTTATTTATTTCATATAACATTTAGTGGGTGTTTGGCACCCATTCTTTTGAAGAATGAGTTTTTGAATAGTGATTGATGTAAAGGATGTGTGGTTAAAAAGTAAGAAGAATTTTTGGGTTTATGTGTAATATTATTTTATTTGGAGAATGTGTGGTTAGAAATGAGTACTGTAGAAAAATGAGAATGAGAATGAGATAAAAAATGGATGTCAAACGGGGGCTTACTTTGAAAACTTTTGATTGATTGAATTAACTTTTGAAAATCATCTTTTTCAACAAAGTTTTCTTATTAACACTTGACTACACTTCAATTTGATTTTCATTGAAGATCTATGCATTAATTTGATTTCAATTGATGTCTGCACTTTAATTTAATTTCAGTTAGGGTAATTCTGATCGATTCTAAAAATAATCGATGATGGATAGTTAATAAATGAAATCATCACACGTACAATTAGTTGCTGACGTAGAATAAGTGCAAGTTCGAATAACACCTGATTGAATAAAATTAAAATATATTTATTCGATTAACACTTTAATAGATGAAATTATAATTACCAGAATTAAAATTTATCGATTGATGCTTATTGTTATGCAGCATTAATTTTAACAAAATAAAAAATTTAATACCAAGTTGTACTGGCAATTAGAAATTTGGTGAATATAATAATATATTTAATAGTTAAAAAATTAACAGAATAGAAAATTGCAAGAAAAAGAAAAATGGGATAATAGAATAATAAATTGAGGTGTGGATAAACAATAACCTTAAAATAGATCCGGTTAATTGAGTGTCAGTTTCTAAAAATACAAAGTGGAACCAGAATTAATTTGTAAAGATTCAAGCATCTGTGATCAACCCGTTATATTATACGTTCGATTTGAAGAAGTCTCTACCTATCTTCCTCCTCATGAATTCATGTTGCCTCCCCATAATTCGAATCCAAAATTCAACTTAAGTCTTTCATAAGGTAAAGATCTTAAGTTCGAATCATAGGGGAGGCAACATAAATTTGTGAGGAAAAGGTGGGCAAAAGTTCTTCCGAAATGAGCAATACGCATAATATAACGACTTTGATAGGCTCGGGTCATTACATAATTGACCAACAATTATAGGTGTTTAAAATCATTAACATCATAAATTAAGTTGTCTTTTTATTTCCTCATTAACATAAGATATTAATCAATCGAGTAATGTTATTCATAGTCAAAAATTGCAGTAGTTATCCTTATGTGATGGCTTATTTTTTGAGGCATTAGCTTATTATTTGAAGTAACAGAATTACAAAAAATAATATCTCAAATAACAAGCTACCATATATGGGGCTGTCTGGGAACACTAAAATGCCTGGGAAAACTCCTTTTTGGATCGTTGCAGCCAACAACGGTAAGAATTCAAGAATTGTGGCTTCATTTTTTGTGAGAAACGGTCAAAAATAACAGCAGGAAAAGCAATTCTGTGGGGGGAGGAAATCACTCACAGATAGCTCCTATAATGTCTATTGCAGTCGCTAACTATGAATATCATTATTTAATCATAACCGTTTGGAGTTACATAATTTGGAATGGAAGCCGGAAATAAATAGAAAATATAATGGCAAAACGTGGACCTTATTAAGGGCCCAATTCCGTGTCTACAAGTGATGCTCCCACACGAGTTTAATGGTCCTATATGCTAATCCGATCCATAATGCGGCCCTTGCTTGTGTGTGCAAGAAAGCATGTATGTTACACATGGTAACATCTTCAAAACATGTATCAATATTTAAATGAGTAATTGCCTAATTATTTTTCCTGGGACAAGCTTCTAATGCTTCTAATGATTGGTAAAGGTAATGTGATTTTGAATACAAGATCACTCTCTCAATCTTGTTGATATTATTCAACTCAACATCCACTATTTCGTCCATTGTGTCTTTCACGCCTAAATATCTTTAACCGTTTGGCTTGAGCATCGAAATGCTCGCGACTTGAGCATATCCATTCGAGCTACAATCACATGAAGTTTAACATTATGTCCAAGCGTACCATCCCTTGTTGAGAATGTGATTCCATCGTATTTCGAGGTCAACAAATATGATACAAAATGCAATGAAATTTTTTTTTATTGATAACCTCAATGATTGTTCAACACATCAAAAAAAAATCAATGTACTTGTTACAAATGACAACAAATTAATTATTATTTTATACAGATTCAAAAGTTGCTGTATATTCTTTTTCATCATGTGATTCCGTCACTGCTATTTCCAAGGTTTTACAAAATGGACAACAAATATCAGATGATCCCATTGAATAAAATCTCTGGTCATGCTTTCGCACGTAGGTGAGACTGACTACAAATGAACAATATTTATTATACAAGTTGAATGTATTGGTATTTCTTTTTTACTGGCCATATTGTCCTAGCAGCGTTTTATGCAACTTCAAAGATTGTTTATTTCTATTATAGTCTATAGATACAAGATTTTGCAAAGTACAAGTACCCAGTGAAAGCAATGGCACCAAGACCAACCAGTAGCCAATAAGAAAATCGTCTCGACCTGGGCCACGGATAGCTATCTCCACCACAAAATGCAACTTCAAAGACAGTTTCTTCTATTGTAGATATAAGATTTTGCAACGTACACATACGCAGCGAATGCAGCAGCACTAAGTGCAGCCAGTAGCCAATAGAAGTAGTCGAAATGAGCCCGGTTAAGGTTGTTTGAAAACCAACTTTCTCGCCCCGGACCACTGGTGGCTTTCTCCACTACAGAGATAAGAAAACTGCTCAAGAAGTTCCCTATGCCAAATATGCTCAAGTATAGAGCAAGACCGATGCTTTTCAGCTCGTTTGGAACCTGGTCGTAGAAGAACTCTTGGAGTCCGACCATGGTAAATACATCTGCAACTCCGAAAAGCAAATACTGAGGTAGCAGAAACCACACACTCATAGGCACTGTTGCTTTTGGCATGTCCACCAATCCATATTCAGCAGCAGTTTTTAGACGTTCCCTCTCGACCAAAGCTGCAATTACCATGGAAAGCAAAGATAAAAATACTCCAATTCCAATTCGTTGAAGCATTGTAATGCCCGAGGGTTTCCCAGTTATAGCTCTTGCAATAGGAACCAAAATCCGGTCATAGATAGGAATAAAGACAACAATGGCGATGCTGATAAAAGATTGTAATGAAGCAGGTGATATTTGTAAGCTAGACGTGATAGAACGATCCATTGTAGCTCCTTGTTTGGTGAATAAAGTCGATGATTGTGAAAATGCAATGGCATATCCCAAACATGCAGTCCATATTGGAAAAAGCCTAAGAACTGCCTTTGCTTCTTCAATCTCAGTAATACTACAAACTTTCCCATCTTCCTTCAAGCCATCAGGTGCAAGCAACGCTTTATCAAGAAACCTATTAGAAACCAAATATAATGTGACAAAACAAATGAGATTGATCCCATTATTTCAATCATATAAAGCAAAGGTTTATAGTAAAACAATATCAACGCATTTTATTATAATGAAGATAGAGCAATGTGTTGTCTCCAAAGTGATTTTTTTAAGTATCTAGGTCTGATTATTAGAAAGGAAGGAGCAGGAATTGAAGAGAAAATAATACATTAAATTCAGGTTGGTTGAGTGAAATGAAGAAGTGTCACTATATGATAGGAAGATTGTTATAGCTATGCTCTATGGTTAAGTTTTAGGTTGAAGGACAAAATGTTTGTAGATGACCATGGTGGATAAGATAGATTTCACTAAGTTGGATAAGGTAAGAAATGAAAACATGTGTCAACAAGTAACAATGGAGTCGGTCGAGCGTAAATTAATGAAGGAAAAATTGGCCGAATGTAAATTAACGAAGGACAACTTGGATAATCCAAAAATGTTTTGCATAGACTTACCGATTTTTAACCCTACTCAAGAAGCTTAACAGGACTAATAAAAGAAACCAAAATGTACCAAAGAGAGGTGAAGAGGAAAATTTTATCTTCAAAACATCAAAACACACAAAGGGGCAGTTGACTTACTTGAACTGTTGAGATCCTTGATATGGCAGAATTCCCTGTGCTTCCTCTTCCTTAGATATTGCTCCTGGGGTAGTCCGCCAATTTCTAGCCGCATTCAGGAATACCTGACCAATTCTCACAAATGGGTTTCGTTCATCGCTCTGTATGCGAAATCGATAAGTCATAGTTCCAAGCAAAAATATAATTAGCGCAAGACACATGATAATGCAAGGAATTCCAAAGCCAAGACCCCAACTTAGATTGTCTTGGATGTAGTTCAATACAAAGAGAGCAACTGTAATACCCAAATTCATGGAAAAATACCACCAATTGAAGAATGAGCTTTTGTCATTACATTCTTTTGGGTCTTGCTCGTCAAACTGGTCAGCGCCAAAAGCCTGGAGACAAGGTTTATGTCCTCCTTGTGCTAGTGCAAATAAATACAAAGAGAAGAAGAAGAAAATAATTTGAAACTGTGGCGGGGAGCATGCCATGTTATTTGCAGCTAAATGGCAGTCGGAAGATTTGATTGAATACAGAACAGCAGATAGGGTTAAGAAGCCAAGTGCCTGAGATCCATATAATAAAAGAACACGATTAGAATTTCCCAGAAGAAAAATATTTTCACAGATGTTATTAACTAAAAGAAAAGAACGACTTTGTGTTGATGAAGTGATTGTGAGAACTGTTCAATCAATCATGAACTTTTAAGTCCTTGGCTCATCTGTTCTAAGGAAAGCTTTTAAAATACAAATGAATTTACCAGAAAGTATTTCTGAGAAAGAAAATCGTAATTTTCTCAAGCTGGTTTCATGATTCTTCAAAACCTTCAAGAATTATTCAGCCATATATATCTTGAATAAGCACTGGACTTTCACATTTTTCTTATTGAGAAACTCAGTTTAAGGTATCTAACCATAAACTAGCTGATTATATTAGATTGGCAGGTTTTGTTGTCTTTGAAAGTACCACGAAACTTTCTTCAGAATCTCTTCTATAATGCGACTTATGTTACAGGGGTAGTTACTAGTACAAAGAGCATGCATTATAAATATTTGAAAAGCATAGATAAAATAAATAAAGACGTGTGTCACAGAAAACACTCTGATTTTAGTCACTACACAAAAACATGAAATTTTATCAATTTTCTACTGTGATAAAAAGAAAGTCAGTTGTTTGTTAGAGCTATGTTTCAATCTACAGAATGATTCAGTCAAAAATGACTTCATATGTAAGAATAAACATCATTGCCGTCTTTGAATCTACCGAACAATGCTTCCTCAGGGCTGAACCCCAAAATAAACACTACAAATGGAAAAAACTTTTAGTCTCAAGTACGCACAAAATTCAAAGATGTGGATAGTCATCCTTCAGTCAAGTTCTTACTGAGAACTGAAATGATGACACATGACACCAGAGAGGAAAAATACAAATTGAAGGAAGAAAGAACCTAAGATATCTTAGAAACACAATAACTCAGACTGAAAGCAGAAGCTCTTTAACTTATAAAACATACAGCATGTTTTGCTAAGTTTCAAAAGTTCACTTAATAAGTAAATAAACAAGTTTTAAAACAAATGATTATTTTTTATTGGTCAAATTTGGAAATAAGTTACTTATTGTGATAGTAAGGCAAACGTTACTTTCAAAATAAGATTTTTTTTACTTAAAAATTTTTCAATTTATAGAAAACATGCTCTTACTGGGAGTGAGTGAAAGAAAGATCTTTATTTTCTCATCCCCACCTCCATTTCCACACTAGGGATCCCACTTCAACTTTGGTGTTTTTCATGACCACTATCAAAAGCACAAGTTTATTATTTCTCCAATGTCAAAGCATACTCACAACAAGTCTGAAGACACAGAAAACTCCAGCAGCTAACAGACCAAGTATCACAAGCTCAACCAAGTAAAATGGATTTATGTCATAGGTTAACAGGCACAATACTATCATTTGAAAAGCTATATGAAATTTAGCTCCAAAAAACAGACAATTTGATCATTGAGAGTCAACGAGAACATCTAACTAGAAATAGAAAAAGTAATTCTTCAGGCTGCTCCATTCTGACCAGCAGACTGTAGTGACAAATAGCCAAATCAAAGAACAGGTGAAGGAAGTTCAATTGGAGTATTAATGATGTATGAAGAAACAACAACAAGCTTTTTAAACCATCCTCATTTGGATTTTAGATTTTAGTAAAAGACGTCTTTCCCCCAGCTTGGGGTATTTAACATTGACATCAGCATCCAAGACTTGTATTGTAAACATTCATGGCCAAATTTCAATATTTTTTCTCAATCTGAAAACTTTTTGACTGTAAGAAGTGGACACATGGAAAATGCATAGTTATGCTTTATCTATTGACAAGATCAGAGAATTATGAATAGTAACATCATTTGGCGTAAATGAACCAGATAAAACAGCTCATAAATATTTTGCATTCTTGTATTTTATTGAAATTAAATGCCTTATCAAGTTTATCTTTCAAATCCATTTGGAAATAGCTTCCATTCAGGCTCGGCCAGTTCAAGCCATGTACAATAAATGAATGAGCTAAGAAATGTTATATACTTCTTTTACCCAAGATTCTTTAGTTTATTAGAATCCCTTTTTGACAGTGACTTCTTGAGAATTAAATTCCTAAAACTATTGACGAATAAGAATTTGAATATATTTTTATTAAAGATAAATTTAAAACCTAAAGTAACATTAGCAAAATTCATCAAAATTATTTCTTGCATATCTCGAGTGGTGCAAGAGAAATGACCAATGAATCAAACCCATGATCACATTCTACAAATGTTTGAGGATTCATAAATTTCCACCTTACCAATTCTTGTCAAATGACCCTCTCAAGGTTGGCCAGTATGAGTCACTCCCAGGTGCCTATAAGGATAGGGTATTCTAGTGTCTATAAGCCCATAAGCAAAGTTTCAAGGTAGGTATTCTGAATGCAATTAGTGGTGTTACATAATTTTAATTCTCAAAACAGAGACCATATATTAGTGAATGATTCGTGTACTGACCAGGATATAGAGCCCAGAAGCAATGACAATGGTCCGGTATCGACCAAGAAACGAATCCGCCACAAACGCACCCAAAAGTGGCAAAATCATCGACGTGCCGGACCATGCATTCACATTCTCCGCCGCAGTTGCGGTGGATTGTCCTAATGGACCCGTCAAATAGCTTATCAAATTCGAACTTATTCCATAGTACGCAAATCTCTCAGCCACTTCAACGCCTAACAAATCCAAAACATAAATAAAATAGAACCAAAAGAACTCTTATATGCTGTAACCTTTTGATTGGTCAACTGGGTAAAACTTAGTGTACCTATGATGAAGAAAGAGGACTTCCAACCACCGGACATGGATCGGGTAACAGGGCAGCCTTTGAAGTTGACGGAGCCATGAACGACGTCGTTCAACAGTGGATTTTCGGCATTCAAAAGGTGGGTTCCGGCGGAGGGCATCGCCATATCTCTAGAGCTCAACAACCAAAAGATTGTAATAACCAGGGAAACTTGACATTTATTCTGATAAATTTCAAAGCGGAACAAGTCCAGTTGAATTGATGGGACTGCACGTCTACTCCAATCCTCCTCTCACACGCAAGCGGCAAGTCTTTCAAACGGTTATATATATGGAGGTCAACAATCGCCCCATGTGGCAAAAATTGGTAAGCATTGCAATCGGAAAAACAGGGCATTATTCTGATTGCATTCAAACACACAAAAAAGTTTAAAAGAATTGATTTTTTTTTCCTTTAAATATGGTTTTTGTTGTGATTGTGTTTCTTCAAGACAGATATTTTAAAGATTTATTAAGCAATCACGTTTTGTACGATGCCCCATCAATGGAGTATTTTATACAATTTAAACCTGTTTGTTGAGCTTTTTGATACATACAATTATTGATTTCGTGCGCAGGTGTGATTCGCTTGAAAGCCCAGTCAAAAATGGCTCGTGGAAAATTAATTTGAACTTTAGGGAAAATTACAACATTGATGCCCAACCTTTACAAAATATAACAACCAGATCCCCGAGCTATGATTTTTGTCTCTACTTGACTGAAACCATTTAATGAGACATGAAACTCTCACGTGTTGGGCAAACTACCACATTTTGAAGGATATAACTTCCAACTCGATACTAAAATCACAATTTTTGTTCACTCGTGATCATATTATTTTGATGCTTTCAAAACTTAACAAGTTAAATAGATTTATGGCACGTTTGGCTGTCAATTTATAAATGGTTTATAAGTAAGTCAAAGTCAAACATTTACAATCACGTTAATCAGTTAAATAGATTTTCAAGCCTCTAGCTCCTTAAATCTTGAACCTTACAGGTGATGCAGGCAAGAGATATTGCACCGACTTTATTTGATTTCAGTATTTTATCTATTTCCCCGGCTTGATCTACATTATTATCTTATTAAAATGAAAAATATGACCGTTATCCATCATGTCAATATTTAAATTCAAATTTTCTATCTCTTGTGTAGAACTCAATAATAACTATATTTTTTATTCTCATTCTATAATAATTTAGCTCAAACAGGGCCTTTAATTTAATTAGAGTCTAGATACGTTTTATTTAATTAAGGTGAAATTTATATTAGGAGCTTAGGGACCAAGAAAGTAATTTTTAGAAATTGAAAATTATAATGTAGAAATTTCTCCAATTTCATCAAAATTGTTGACACGTTAAAAGTTTTCAACATCCACGACTTTTGTGGTAAGAACTAAGAAGTACCAATCCTATTCCTCTAGCAAGAAAATGTAGGAAATGACACCTGGAGATATAGGGGTTGTTTGACACCTATTTTAGTAGAAAAATGAGTTTTTGAATAGTGATTGATGGAAGAATGTGTGGTTAAAAAGTAAGGAGAATTTTTAGGTTTATGTGTAATATTATTTTATTGATAGAATGTGTGGTTGAAATGAAGAAAGAGAAAAAGAATAAGAATGAGAATGAGAAAAAAATGGGTGCCAAACAGAGCTATAGCCTCTATTTGGAACTCAGAGCTTATTTGGGATGGATTTTTTGGGGAAGAATTAATTTTGAATAGTGATATGATGGAAAATGTGTGGTTGAAAAAGAAGAAAAAAATATTGATGTGATGAAAAATATTATTTTATTAAAGAATGTGTGGTCGAAAATGAGAATTGATTTACTGTAGAAAAATTTAAATCCCTCCCAAACAGAGTCTCAATAAAGTCCATGTTTGAGGTACATTATTAAGTGGAGAATGTATTTTAAATAGTGATTTGATAAAAAAATGTGGTTAAAAAATAAAAAAATTCATTAAAAATCGGATTGATCAAAGGATAATTCTTGTTGTACATCACCTTGTACATCAAGGTATCCATAATGGACACCCGACACCATCTCATTGGAGGAAGTGCCGACCCCACCAACCCTCCCTCCAATGAAAGAGCACCAAGTGTCCATTATGTAGACCCTTATGTTAGTGGTGATAACATTACCCTTGATCAAAACACCCAACTCCTCAGCATTCCATTTACGAAAACACCCCTCTATTCAAGGATAATTTTGGAATTATGAAATTTACTGCTGCAATCACTCATTTCAAAGTGAAGAACTTGCTTTAAATATTCATTTTGATCGACAGTCAAGGACATGAGTCCCACGGGGCCAGGAACAAAAGAGTGGAGGTCTCTCATTATAATGGGGATCAAATGGTCGCATGATTCCCATAAAATATCTATATCATACTCCATCTACAACTAGCTGGCCCTAGAAGTTTTACTTTTTGCCAACACCCTTATTCTACAAGAGTCCATTTAACAATACATTATTGAAAATGATAATTAGTACGTAACGTTCCCACCTTTCATTATTCTGGGGCTTATTAGCATAAAACGTCCATACGTTTGATAGTTAGTGTGCAAAACGTCCCAACGTTTCATTTTTTTGCATGTTTGCCCATATATCAACGTTTCAGTGTGGAAAACATCATTTTCACTATTTTTCAGTGTAAAATGACCATTATACCCTCAAATTTAAATTAAAAAAATAAAATGAAAAGAAATATAAAAAAGAAATTGTAATTATACTCCCAAACTTTTTAAAAAGTGCAAGTGAGTCCAAAAGTCTTATTAAAAGGTTTAAGCACAAAACGTCCCTACGTTTGACACTTAATGCGGAAAACGTCCCTATGTTTCAAACATGTTTATATTTGCTCAATAACACAAAACGTCCATACGTTTGACACTTATTGCGTAAAACGTCCATACGTTTCTTTTTTTTTTACATTTTCGTCCTTATTTCAACGTTTCATTGCGGAAAACGTCATTTTCACTATTTTTCAATGTAAAATGACAAATATACCATCATATTTAAATAAAACAAAAAAGGAAAATAAAAATAAAAATAAATTACAATTGTGCTCCCAAACTTTTCAAAAAGTGCAAATGAGTTCAAAAATCTTATTAAAACATTCAAACCATCAGTCTTCTCCTCCTCCATCAACCTTATCCTCCCTCCACCACCTAAACCACCAAACCCCACCACCTTTCAAACCATCACACCTCCATCTACAATCCTGATTTAGGTGGTGGAGGGAGGATAAGGTTGAGAGAGGAGGAAAGGACTGGTAGTTTGAATGTTTTAATAAGATTTTTGAACTCATTTGCAATTTTTAAAAAGTTTGGGAGCACAATTGTAATTTATTTTTCTTTTTTGTTTTATTTAAATATGATGGTATATTGGTCATTTTACATTGATAAATAGTGAAAATGACGTTTTTCACAATGAAACGTTGAAATAAGGACGAAAATGTAAAAAAAAAAGAAACGTAAGGACGTTTTACGCAATAAGTGTCAAACGTAGGGACGTTTTGTGTTATTGAGCAAATATAAACATGTTTGAAACATAGGGACGTTTTCCGCATTAAATGTCAAACGTAGGGACGTTTTGTGCTTAACCCTTTTAATAAGGCTTTTGGACTCACTTGCACTTTTTAAAAAGTTTGGGAGTATAATTACAATTTATTTTTTATATTTCTTTTCATTTTATTTGTTTTATTTAAATTTGAGGGTATAATGGTCATTTTACACTGAAAAATAGTGAAAAGGATGTTTTCCACACTGAAACGTTGAAATAGGGGCAAAAATGAAAAAAAATGAAACGTTGGGACGTTTTGCACACTAACTATCAAACGTAGAGACGTTTTGTGCTAATAAGCCATTATCCTGGTGGAAAACGTTCATACCTTTTATTTTTTGATATTTTCACTCTTATTTCCACCTTTCATTGCACAAAAGGTCATTTTCATACATTTTCTCAATTAAAAATTGTGAAATGACGAAAATACAATTTCCTTTAAATAAAACAAAAGAAAAAAGAAAAAAAAACTAATTGAAGTTGAAGTTGAAGATCAACCATATTGAAATTGGTCATTTGGAAGTATTAAGTGGGGCAAACAGAGGTGAATAACAAGTTTCGAGAGATAAATTCAATAATTGAAAAGTTTTCGGATTAAATTATAAATTTTCGAAACTTGTTTCTGGTCGATAATTAATTATTTAGGAATGTGGAGGACAGCATTATGAAGAACTAAAGTCAAAGGGCCTTTAAAAAAAAACCAAAAGTGTGATTTAAGGATCTAAATGGACAAATGGAAGTTCAGTGACCTCAGCGAACTCAACTATGAAATTTTCAATAGTAGTCCTAACTCTATTACATTGTGCGTTCATACCCAATACTACGGTGAAATTGCAAGGCAGTCCCCGAAGTTAAAATCTCAGCAACCAGTAGACTAAATTATCAAATCCCATTACTTTTTGACGAATTAAGACCTAAATCTTGACTCCATAAATACGTATCTGTAGTAAAAAATGGATAATTTGTGTATAGATATTTATCAATTAAGATGATCAATTAAATGACATTAACATAACATTAATAATAATAATTCAACTATAACATAAACATAAAATGTAAGTCGAAAACTAGAAAACAAGCCTTGGGAAGTCATGTCAAGGACGTCGGCCAAAAGTAGTGTTGCCTCCCCTTCCTGAGGGTTCTTTAGACACTGCACGACTCCAAGATAAAATTCATATGACTCACTAACGATTCTCTTTCTATGGGAACGACCACAAAGAGATAAAAAAGAGCATTTATCGAATTGCCAAAAGTATAATAATATAATATGAAATGTATATGAAAGAATAATTTTTTAACTTGTGTTTTCTAGTTGTATTTCAAGTTGTGGTTTTCATATTATATCAAACAATGAATATTTCATCTCTTTTATAGAAGAAATTTAAACCCCACGTTCATGTAAAATTAATTCATTTAATTAAGGTTTTAAATTTGTATTAAACCTGAAAACTAAAAACAAAAATTGAATATTAAAAATGTATTAATTTTTTGAAATTTAAAACTTTTTAATATTTGGGTTATAACAATTCCCTACAACTTTTAAACTTTCAAAATTAATAACTATATTA